CCCGGTCTTGCCGGGTTATTTATTACTTCGACACTCCTGCACTTGGGAGAAGATATCAATCTTTTAGTCGTGTCACTAGGTTTTTTCTTTCCTTCACCATCATGTTATGAGAAATAATTGATTTTTATTTTCCATGTTAACTAGACACTTCGAGTATAAGTTTTTCATCCTTTTTAGATGTTGTACTAGTTACAAATGTTCAAGATTTATTCAAGGTCTATAGCAGTAACTAGTAGATGCTCGCCACTAAACTAAAAACAAGACCCCTTTGAGAATTTCTAGTTTTATGATGAACTGTCTACAAGGTTTTTGTGTGTATGGATTAATTGAAATAACATAAAGATGTTTTGTTACTTGGTATGAGTATGCAATTAAACTTTTTAACTCTGTTATTGCAAGTCCTTATGCCTCTCTTGTTGTTTCCTTTATATTCTGATGTTTTGATGTTAAATAAGTCATCTACTTGTGTGTATCCCAAGAGAAAAAAAAAACTTCAAGAAGAAAATTATAGGTTGAATGTAGACTTAAAAAAGCAAAATGCCAATGTTAAGAGCCGCAAGGCTAAAATCATCATTTTTTAGTCTTGTGAAGGATTTAATAGTCATAAAACTCAGAGAAAGAAGCTACAGGATGAGCGAAAATATGTATCTTTTTCTCTTATTTTTTTGGTTAGGCTCATTAAAAGGGCATCGTCTAACTAGACTTTTCTGCTTCTATAGATCATTATCGAAAAAAGCAAGTGAACTTTCCAACCCCTGCCATTTGAAATACATATTGACGAGACTTTGATGTCTGTGAACACCTAAACATCAAACCATGTTGCCACACTTTTAAGCAACTTTGGAAGAACATTTGTCATTCATGTTGTTTGAGCACCAAGTACCTTTACTATCCCTATTCAACTCTTTTGCTTCTATTCCTTATAACTCATTTTGTTACATCACTTGTTGTCACTACAATAATCAGATAGCAACCATGATTATCGATCTGAATGTTTTGTGCTCTGTCCTTTACAATTGCTAAGACATCTCAATAGAATGCTTCTTAATGTGGTTACATATTTTAACCTAAGTACTATTGATTTTTCTTTTCCCATTTTTACTAGGTTCTTTATATGCTTGGATTCTTGGATTAGTTCTGGTATTCCTCACTTGGCTTCTTGCATCATTCTTATAACATCCTGTGACGTCTCGTAGGTAATTTATCTAGTCTATTCTATTATGTTAAATATTTTCTCTGTTAGAGTTGTGTTCCTAATTTGCTAGAAGATATGGCATAATCACTAGTAGTCTCTTAACCTTTTGTCATGGTCACTTTATCATTTAAATGATGTACTTCATATCAATATGTATTTCAAGCAACTTATTTCATGTAGAGGTTGGGTATAATAACATATCAACTCAAATAATTGGGCACCTTAATGCTTTGAAATAAGGATAAGCCATTTTTATCCCACTAAACATGTAAATATAAAGTATCCTTGTGTAACTTATCCACATGGTTTTGATGTGGCACATCTAATAAAAAAGTTAAAGTCTTCACCTAATTTTTCCAGGTTAGTTCTTCATCGTGCTTGTTCTAACTTAAATAGTATTGATCCAACAAAAATTTTGATTCGAGTTTTGTTGTTAATAATTTATATATTGGTCTACCCACAACTGAAAACTCAATAACTGCTTATGTTACTTGGTTCTAGAAGGTTATATCTCTACATGTTTTGTTAATTTATTGTTGATGTTTTCATTAGCTTATTCTGTAAATTTGGGTTGAAAGTTTTTGGTGTGACTCTCGTCAGTGATTGCTTTTGGAATCCATGGATGGATAGTTGTGAGAAAAAGTTTTAATTTGATAATTATGGTTGAGTAGTCCCAACTATAAAAGTAACTATAAAGTACTTACATATACTATTTTTCCTTGATGTGATATTTGTAAGTAACTTAAATTATTTGACCGACATGTTTTTGGATACTGGTGGAGCATTGTTTGTGTCTAAGGGCTTGTCTATAAATGTGTGTACTTTTTAAACATTTACATGAGCTAAATTATTAATGATGTTGATATGACTCTTGCAATAGTTTGCATGCTTATATTGTTGATTCTTCTTCTTATTCTCATAAGTATTTACCTAAACTGTGATATGTCGAGATTTGGATGTGTCCATAAACTAATGGTTTGGTTTGCATAACTATGAATGGTTACGATAAAAATCTTATATGTTATTTTACATGATGATCCTTATACATGTTTGTGATGCCTTAATTGTCAATATAATCTATAATTAGCTTACCATACAGGTTGTATATACTCTCATAAATAGGAAAAGCGATTTAGCTTACCATGTATAGCTTCCAAAAATCACTCTAGTTTTCTGGTTTCCTTTAATAACTAGCAACAACCTGGTTTCCTCATATAGTTAGTTTCCTTGTATAAACTAGTAGGTGGCCTAATATGTAATGGTGATGTCCTGAAAATTATTTCATTCTGAATTCTAACCATTCTATCATGGTATCAGATCCCTTAGTCATAGTTTTCTAAAAACTCCCAGCCATTTTTTCCTCTCTCTCAATTGTAATCTTAGTCCTTATGGAGAAGTCAAATAATGTTTGTGCTAGATTTATTAGCAAAAATTATACTGCTTGGGAGTTTCACTTGGAGACTTTTCTCAAAGGTAAAGAGTTGTATTTTCTTATCTTATCTTAATGGTTTTTGTCTATACCAAAATAGCACTTTTATTTGGTAGAATGACTTTTTCTTTGTGTAGTGTCTTTCTTTCATAAACGATTTTGGCAACTTGTAGTATTATGGAGCATGAAAAGTAGTTGAACATCCTTTATCAAAAAACAAGTTTAATCAACCCCTTTTCTAGCAAAGCTACTCATGATGAAAGTCTGTAAAAGGAAAATGATAATTTACAACATTGTTTTTTTCAAATTTAGCTCAAGAAAGAGTTTAGATTAGTCCATTTTGATACTTTAACATCAATGTATATGTATGATGATGCTGTCAGAATCTTCTTATAGGTTGCACTTTCTTATCTCATGCTCATCATTTAAATGTTAAGGGTTTTTCTTTTTTATTTTCTTTTTTGATTTGTTTAGGTATCTTTAGTAAACTGGACTTAACAGGAGCTATATTTAAAGAAATGATTAACCTTTCTAGCATATTATTTGTTTAAGTTCACAGGAACTCAAAATTGTGAATTTGCTTTATTGTGTCTTTATGTTATAGAAGATTAATTGTGAATTTGCTTTAGTCCAAGCTTCAATTTCTTGTTCTTGGCTTTTAATGTATTGTTAAACTATTATGTCTGTAATCAATATTTTAAATCTATTTATCTTACTTGATTTGCTAGCCAATATTTATGTTGAAATCCTAAAAGATGATGTTTTGGTCTTGCCTTTACATGTACTTGGTACTTACTAAGATGGGTCATGTTTGCATGCTTCCACTTAAGCATTCATCTTTTGAGAAGTGACATGGTCTCTTTTATTGGAACATATAGGTATAAGTTGAGTGTGAAAGAGTTGCAGAAAATGCTTTATAGGTGCAATGAAAAACTTTAGCAGTTCAGCCATGTAAACAAGAAGGCTATCAATATGTAAATATCACTAAGAAATAGGAGGAACTCTAGAAAAGGCAAGCTGAACTTGAGACAAGTGACGAAGGACTATGGTACTAGATTTTATTGCTTAAATATCTTTTATTGTAATTTACTTCAATGAGATTATGTGTTCACTTCAATGCTTGTGTGCAAAAAATCATAGAACTTATATCTATTTTAGAGTAGTGAAATGATGAATCGATAGATCGTGCTTTTAAAGGAGTTGCTCAGCACTTCAACAAAGTATTCTCTAAACTAGTGTAAGGTGGTCATGATCATTTGGTTATGATGAAGAAAAAGGTTAGTGAAAGGAGCCTTTATGTCTTATTTTCATTTGTTCTTGTATTTACTCTTATCATTCATTTTTTCTTTACTAGTCTTATGCAATGCCTTGATGTCCTACCTTTATCTTTTTATGTTTTTCAAGTTTAATCAGTATATTTTTTGGTCTTTTATGTTGAAATTTACGATAACCATATGAGTACATTTAAAGTTTCATTCATACATTTGTGGTCAATCTAGATGACCATTGAAATAGTTTTATAAATTTTATAGTAGCTTAACAAGATGTTGATACGAAGATGATAATTGTGACTGACACGACTAAAAGGTTGATGTCTTCTCCCAAGTGTAGGAGTGTCGAAGTAATAAATAACCCGGCAAGACCGGGGTCGAACCACAAGGAGGTTATTTGTACAAATTATAAAAAACAATAATACA